GTCCCGATGATGATGATGATGATATTGATGATGATGTTGCTGCTGATGATGATGATGGTGTCCCGATGATGATATTGATAATCCTGCTGATGTTGATGATGATGTGATGATGAGATGGTGTTGATGAAGATGATGATGATGCTGATGATGATGATGGTGTCCCGATGATGATGAGGTTGATGATGATGATGCTGTAAGTTATGATGATGGTGATGATGATGGTGTCCCGATGATGATGATGATGCTGATGATGACGATGATGATGATCATGACGATGTTGGTGTCTCGATGATGATTATGTTGAGGATGGGGATGATGATGATGAGGTGATGATGGTGATGATGATGATGATGATGGTGGCCCGATGATGATGATGCTGATGTTGATGATGATTGTGTCCCGATGATGATGGTGATGATGATGATCGTGACGATGATGATGGTGTCCCGATGATGATGATGTTGCTGCTGATTATGATGATGCTGATGATGATGATGGTGTTACGATGATGATGATGATGATGATGATGATGATGATGTTGAAGATGTTGTTCATGGTGTTGATGATGATGCGATGGTGATGATGACCATTGTGTTCCGATGATGATGATGATGATAATGATGATGATGGTGTCCCGATGATGATGATGGTGTTGTTGATGATGATGATGATAATGATGATGATGGTGACGATGATGGTGTCCCGATGATGATGATGCTGGTGATGATGATGATGATGATGTTGATGATACTGGTGATAAGGTTAGGATGATGATGAGGATGATGATGATGATGATGGTGTCCCGATGCTGATGATGATGATGATGATGATGATGCTGATGTTGCTGCTGATGGTGATGATGATGATTATGATGATGATGATGACGACGATGATGATGATGATGATGATGATGATGATGATGATGATGATGATGGGTATGATGATGATGATGATGATGATGATGATGATGATGATGATGATGATGTTGGTGACGTTGACGACGATGATGTTGAGGATGACGTTGATTGTGAGTTCGATTGCAATATCGATAGTGAGATCGATGTTTAGACCGAATGTGAGATCGATTCGGATATCGATATTGATATCGATAGTGAGATCGATTGTGAGATCGATAGTTTAATCTATGTATATATATATATATATATTGTGAGATCGATCGGATGAAATAGATCGAGTGAGAGCGATCGTGAAAGCGATCGAGTGAAATCGATTGAGCGAGACCGATAGTGAGATCGATAGTGAGATCGATCGTGAGACCGATCGAGTGAGACGTTGGTTCCTCCCCCCCCGAACCTCCTTATCACCCGAAGGGTGGTCGTATAGGTATGATTCCGCTGTGCTGTATTCCCTGCAGGTCCACATCGACGTGTCCTTCTTCATCTCTCTCCTTTCTCTCTTGCCTAGTTGCCTGCGGCCCTCAACGCAGGCGCGCTGGCATCTGGTGACCTGGCTCTTTGGGCCGATCGTCCAAGATCACCATGAGTATCTAGCGTGTCAGCGACTGCGCTTTGGAACGACGCGTCGTCGAAGCGCCCCGATCGCCTGCAAGCCCCGTGGCCCGCGGCCCCCACGCAGGCAGCGCGAGCGGATGCCTCGAGCCGGCAGTGCGGCGGTGCGGGAGGCGTACGCGTGTGGGTGAACCGCGTGGCGTTGTCCCGTGGGGTGCCACGCGTTTGTCCCGTGGGCTGTTCCGTTGGTTGCCGTGTCTGAGTCCGTGGGCTGTCCCGTGGGTTGCCCTGATGTTGTCCCGTGGGCGTCCTGTTAGTTGTCCTGTTAGTTGTCCTGTGTGTTGCGCGGCGGTTGCCCCGTGGTTGTCCTGCGGATGCCAAGCAGTTGTCCCGCCCATTGCCCCCTCGCGCCCCAAGCCCTCCTCGACGCTCTGGTAGTTTCCTGAGTGTTGAGAAATTGTGGCGCGGCCGCAGAGCGGCCTGCGCGCGACGGGCCAACGAGGAGGCCCAGCTGCCAGCGCGCAGGAAAGGATCAAGGATGGTCGCCGAGCACGGCAGTGAGCGAAGCATACCAAGACCCCAACCTCCCCGATAACGTAATTTTGGTGTTCTTTGAGCTTCCTCTCCCTCTCCCTCTCGTGTGGACTCTTGCGCGCGGGCTCTCTGTCTGTCTGTCTCCCTCTCCCTTCTCCTTCCTCTCTCTCTCTCTGTATCTCTTCAGGGGCAGCGGCAGGGGAGGACTGGCCCGGCGGGGTGAGAGGCGACCCGCCATCGCCCACTCATCGGCGCTGGTTCCGGGGTCCCCTTTGCCGCCCAGGAACATGTGGTTTCGTTGCCGAGGGCCTGTCGCCGATTTATCGGGGATGTATCGCCGGTTCCGAGCCAGTAATGTTCCCCCCCCCCTCCCCCCCGAAACCACTCCCCACCCTACCGTTCCCTTCGTCTCCCGCACGCAGTGGCAGAGAGGAGTTGTGAATGCGCTTGCTTACGAATGGCAGGTTCGCGGCGCGTGGGCGCGGCCACTATCCCATCATGGGCGTGCAAGGTAGCACCCGGCCAGTAACCTGGAGTCGGGATCGTACGCTATCGAACGTTGGGCACTTGGGCACCCTCGGAAAGCTGTGATCGTTCAAGGCTGAACTACATGGCCACCAGGTGTTGGGAGCCAACGTTGCGATAAGGACCCGCCGTAGTCGCAGAGTTACCGCTGATGCGTGGCTCTTTCACGCTCGCAAGTTTTTGTTCCAGGCGTCTGGGCGTACGTGCTGCGATTTTATCCGTGCACTTGCGGATTATATTTGGCTCGTCGTGCTTTCTACGTGGTTTCACGCAGTCGCGCTTGCAGCTAGCTCGCATCAGTCGATTGGGCATCTGCGCTGTTCTTCTAGAGCTGCTCCTTTTCCTCCCTGCTTCCCTTCTGCTTCCTCCCTCCTCCCCTCCCTCCTCCCCTCCCTCCCCTCCGTCCCTGCGTCTTCTTCCCTCCTTCCTGATTTCTTCCACTTTCCTTTTCCGTCGCTCATCCCTGACCGGCCTCCGCTCGGACGCACACCGGACACGCCTCAGCGCTGCGCACGAATTGGGCGAGCCCGGCGAAAGCCCGGACCGGGAGGCGACGCATGGATCGGGCGGACAGTGAACATCGGGCCAGGCCGATCCATTGAGAGCAACCGAAGACCGACCCGGACTGCGACGGGACGGGGTTGCCCATGAGCGCAAGACAAAGCGCCAGGAGGCGCCGCCAAGGGTCTGGCGCCGGTCCAAGAATTTAGTGCGGACCTACATTTTTTCCCAACCATCCTTTGGTGTTGGGTCCTCTTTTTGAAGAGACAGCGCCCCGCGTCTCCTCCTTCCTTCCTTCCTCCTCCCTCCCCCTCCTCCCTTGCTACTTGCGTTTCACGCACCCAGTAGAGCGTTTCGTGGCCCCATCGGGAACTCCACCGAAGGCCCCAGTGCCACCGCCCGCATGCGTCACCCACACCCTTATCGTCACACCCCTCACACGTTTCGTGGCCCCATAGGAAGCTCCTCCGAAGGCCCCAGTGCCACCGCCCGCATGCGTCACCCACACCCTTATCGTCACACCCCTCACACGTTTGGTGGCCCCATAGGGAGCTCCACCGAAGGCCCCAGTGCCACCGCCCGCATGCGCTACCCACACTAATTTCGTCACACCCCTCACACGATTCGTGGCCCCGTAGGGAGCTCCACCGAAGGCCCCAGTGCCACCGCCCGCATGCGTCACCCACACCCTTAGCGGCACACCCCTCACACGTTTCGTGGCCCCATAGGAAGCTCCACCGAAGGCCTCGGTGCCACCGCTCGCATGCGTCATCACGGCCGTTCCAGTACACCCCAAACGCGTTTCGTGGCCCCATAGGGAGCTCCACCAAAGGCCCCAGTGCCACCACCCGCATGCGTCACCCACACCCATTTCGGCACACCCCTCACACGATTTGTGGCCCCACAGGGAGCTCCACCGAAGGGCCCCAGTGCCACTGCCCGCATGCGTCACCCACACCCATTCCGGCACACCCCTCACACGTTTCGTGGCCCCATAGGGAGCTCCACCGAAGGCCACCGCCCGCATGCGCCACCCACACCCATTCCGGCACACCGCGCCCCTTTCGGCACGTCCCCAGTGGCTGCGTTCGCTTGCGCCCACCGCACCTAGTTCGGTATACCTCTCACGCGTTTCGTGGCCCCATGGGGGATTCAGCCGACAGCCCAAGTGGCTGCTTTCGAATGCGCCCGCCGCGCAAATTTTGGCACCCCTCATACGTTTCGTGGCCCTATAAGGAACTCCTCCGAATGCGGTGCATACAACGACGGTGTCAACCACTGCATATGGTTGGGTCCTTCGCCAGGTTTCTTTGTTCCCGACCATTCCGTCGTGTTGGGTCCTCGTTTTGAAGAGACAGCGCCCCGCGTTCCTTCCTCCTCCCGCTGCCCCCTCCCTCCTCCGCGCATCATCGTCATCATCATCATCATCATCATCATCATCATCTTCATCATCTTCATCATCCTCATCATCATCCTCATCATCATCCTCATCATCATCATCATCATCCTCGTCATCATCATCATCATCATCACCATCACCATCACCATCACCATCATCATCATCACCATCACCATCATCATCATCATCCTTATCCTCATCCTCCTCATCCTCATCATCATCATCATTATCCTCATCATTCTCATCATCTCCATCAACATCATCATCATCATAATCATCATCATCAGCACCAGCATCATCATCATCAACGTCATCATCACCATCATCCTTATCCTCATCCTCATCCTCATCCTCATCATCATCAACATCATCATCATCATGCTCATCATCCTCATCCTCCTCATCATTCTCATCATCACCAAAATCATCATCATCATTGTACGTGCTCGCGCGCTATGTGTTGTCCAGCGGGCCCTCCCCACCGTGTGCCGTACCAGGATACGGCTGAACAGAACTCTCCTCAGCCCCTGTTTGCTCAAGATTTCTTGGGCACCAGTCTCGCCGCTTCGTGCATGCAGGCGGCGGCCGGCTGGGTTCTTGGGATCCTCGCGTCCCGCTGGTCCGCGCCGGCTCCGCCCGCGGACCCGTCCTGCACCTGCATCTTCAGCGGGCACGAGCCGAGCTCGGGCGTGCTGAACATCCTCCGGGAGCAGCTCTCGCGCTGCGGCCCGGAGCACCTCGGGGCGGCCTGCCCCGCGTGCCCGGCCTGCGTGTGCCCGCAGTGCCCGGCCCCAGTGGCTCCGACCGGGGCCTGGGTGCTCGTGGTCCTCGTCGGGCTCGCGAGCTTCGCCGCCGGGGTGGCCGCTGCGTCTGCCTGGCTGCCTCGGGCGGGGCCGCCTCGCGCGGTCCTGCCGCCGCGGGCCCTCGCGGAAGGTCCTGCTGGGGAGCTCGTGGGTGCGGCGACGCCGGCGTCCCTCCAGCGAGTGCGGAGGCGGGCTGGTGCCGTGAATGCCGAGGGCGCTTGACGTTCCCTACGCCCAGTGCCTCGTGCGGTACGACGACGACGAGAACTTCCAATGGCACCACAGGGTCCTCCTCGTCAAGGGGCCGGACCAATGGTGGGTGTGGGTGACTCCCGACGGCGAGATCGCGGCAGCCAACTTGGGTGGCTTCCGCGTGTGTGCCCTCCAGCGAGGGGGCGCCTTCCCCGACCGCTACCGTGGCAATATGTACGTGTTCGACGACGCCGACGTGGACGCCGAAGAGATGCACCAGTACTACCGCGAGGCGCGGGCGCTGGGGGACATCCTCGGGTACCCCGCCTCGGCCGCCCCCCTCGCCCGGGACGAGCGTTGGTTCGTCTCGGACCCGACCTCGGCCCACTACGGCGAGGAGGTGCCCGCGGCCTCAGTTGGCAACGAGGAGGTGCTCATCCGTCGGGGCGAGGTGGGGATCGTGCAGATCGACGACGTGTGGCAGACGGCGGTGCGGGTCGAGGCCGGCGGCTCCTTCGAGGAGTGGCAGGCCCGAGCACGTGGGGGCCCCGGACGGGACCCACGTATCGCTGGCGACGAGCGCGACGAGGAGAAGGACCGTTTCATGAGCTTCCGCACCTCCGTGTCGAAGATGCGGGAGCAGACCATCCCTGGGTGGCCCCTCAAGGGGAAGCGCGCCACGCGCGAGGCCTGCCTCGCTCTTCGGGATGCCGGACAGGAGGGTTGGGACGAACACCATACGACATGGGTCAGGAGGTCCGGCATCCCGGAGAAGAGCAACACAGCCCGCGAGCACCGGATGCTCTGCTCCGTCCTCCGCATTCTCCAGCAGTTCGACCAGCTGGATCTCTACAACGTGGCGGGGGTGGAGTACATGGTGCGCCGCATGAAGCAGCTGGAGGCTGCCACCAGGCGCAACCCGCGCCAGCCCGACTTCGACGGGCTCGACGTGGTGCTGGATGCCGCGATCGACGAGTCTGGCGGCTTCGTGCTCCCGGTGTTCGACGCCTGGGTCGGCGAGCAGCAGCGGTCCGAGGCGGCCATCATGAAGGCGGGAAGGCAGTGGCGGGAGGAGACTTCGGCGAGCGGCTCGAAGGAAAAGCCGCCGGAGCATCCCAAGAAGGAGGGCAACGGGTAGGCGGGCGTGGAGCCCCCTGCCCTGCCGTCCCAGCCCGCGGGCTCGCCGCCTCGCGCCGCTGGGCCGGCCTTCACGGCGTGGGCTGCTCCACGTCGGCAGTTTTGTTTTCAAGGTCATGGCTCGTCGCGATCATCGTCGTCACGGTGAGCCTCTTCCACTTCCGGTCCCGCAGCCCTCCGGGTTCGTGGACCTGGCCGACGCGCCGAGGTACCTGGCCCTCCGTGCTGTACGTCGGCGTTGTCGCGAACACCGACTTCGGGAGGCCGTTCGCTCGGTCAACGACCTCTCCCGTGCTTCGGTCCACGGGTTCGGCAGCGTGCCAGCCCGTGGCTCCACCACGCCCGGCGAGCCCTCCGCCACGCAGGCCAGCTGCCTCGCTCACATGCGTCGCAACATCGGTCGGCACGGCCCACGGCCGCCTGGGCTCACACCTCGCGGAGCCCTTCAGGAGCTCCTCAAGTCCGACTCGCTGTATGCCGGGGCGCCCTCCAAAGTCGCGCCCTACAGTGAGGACAAGCTCAAGTTCTGGAAGTCGAAGATCGTCCCGAAGCGCGTCGAGGACATCTGCCCCGACTTCGTCGTCCGCGCCTTCGCCGACCCCGATCGGTACGTGCGGAAGCCGGATAGGGTCTTCTTGGCCGACGCGGAGGGGCTCGACCCCATCGTGCCCTACTGGGACCCCCACCTCGCTGGCTCGCGCGACGCGCGGGTCAGGTTTGTCCGACGCCTGGCGGACCGAGGCCTTGTCGGCTACCGTCGGCGTATTCGTGCTCGCGTGGGCTGCTTCTTCGTCGAGAAGAAGGGAGGGTTCATCAGGCTCGTGGTCGACGCCCGTGAGACGAATCGGACCCACTGGAGCCCACCGCACGCTGCCCTCGGGACCCCGGCCGCGCTGGCGGAGCAGGACTGGTCGGACGCTGCCCTGGGAGCCTCCGACGCGACCTCCGCGCCCGCCATCTACGGTGCCTCGCTCGACCTGGCCGACAGCTTCTACCAGTTCTGCTCGGACGCCCTCGCCGAGGACTTCGGCATGGACTACCCCGAGTCCGCGTCGGTGTACGGGGCGACGCACGTCTGGGAGGACGGCCACCTCGTCCCCGTCGGCGCCGACGACTTGGTGTTCCCGACCTTCCGTGGCGTCGCCATGGGCTGGAGTTGGGCGCTGTGGGTCGTTCACTCGTCGGTCACTTCGTGGGTTGGCCACGCGCTCGCGGGCGGGCCTGCGAGCCTCGTCTTGGACCGACAGCCGCCGCGTCCGGCGGCCCCTGGCAGGCCCGCCGGCTCCGTCTACGTCGACAACGTGGGCATCCTGGGGCTCTCCGCCGCCGATGCCGCGGCGGGCCTGGCCAGCGTCATGGAGGAGCTCGACCGCCGGGGGATCGTGTACCACGAGGTCTGCGAGCCGTCCCTGGAGTTCGGTATGGTGGGCGTGGTGTACGATGGCGTCCGTCGGACTCTGCGTCATTCCGACGAGCGCGCCTGGCGGCTTTACCTCGCCTGCCTGGAGCTGGAGCGCCCGGGCGTGCCCCGCGCCGCGTGGCAGGTGCGGGTCGTCCTCGGACACTTCATCCAGCACTGCCTTCTGCTGCGGCCGGCCATGTCCATCTTCAGGCACCTCTACAGGTACGTGGACGAGTGCCGGCTTGGGCCGCCTTCCGCTCTGCCGGGCCCCGCTCGGCAGGAGGTCCGCGTCTTCCGAGGGCTCATCTTCCAGGCAGTCGTCGATCTCGCCGCGCCCGTGTCGGACATCGTCCTCTGCTCCGACTCCTCCGAGGCGGGCTACGCCCTACATCGCCGGCGCTGCGACCCCGATGCGGTGCGCCGACTCGCGCGCCTTCGGGAGCGCTGGCGCTTCACGCCCGACGAGAAGCGGCCCGAGGCGTTGGAGGACGACACCTACACGCCCGGCTGGCTTCCTGGCGCTGGAGGGGTGCTCGGCGAGGGCGACCCCAGCTGCGGCATCGCGACCTGGGCCCCGCCGCCGAGGCGGGCCGACGAGCGCCCCCACGGCACCGTGCGGGCTCGGGTTGCACAGGCACCGCGGCGTGCGACCTTCGAGGACATCCCCAACGAGCTCGTGGCCCCAGAGGCCTGGTCGCTTGTCGTGGAGGGTGCCTGGAGGACGCGAGCGCCCATCCACATCCTTGAGGCCCGGATCGCCCTCGCGGGGCTTCGGCACGCCTCCAGGAGCCTCGAGTGCCACGGGCGCCGCGTCCTCAGCCTCGGGGACAACATGGCCGAGGTGCTCTCGACCGAGAAGGGCCGCGCCGTTGACGTCGGCCTCGGCTCCGTGTGCAGGCGCAGCGCCGCCGTCCAGGTGGCCACCGGCATCCGCTGGCGGCGCCGATACCTTGACACGGGGAGGAACGTCAGCGATGGTGGTTCGCGCAAGGCCCTGCAGGGTGTGTACCGCCCTGGGCAGCGCCGCGTCGGGCCCGGCGCCGCCGTCGCCGGGGCCGCGGGACGGCCTGGTGCGGCTCCGCCCCCGCCGCCGCCGCTGGGACAGGCCGCTGGCGCTGCGGGCCCCGCTCGGGCTGCCGGCGCCTTGGCGCCGCCTGCCGTCGCGGGGGACCCAGCGCGCCGACGAGGGGGGGAGGATTCAGACCTCCGTCGTCACACCCCTCGGCCGCTCCCCCGCGACGGTCCGCCGCGGCACCCCAGGCGCGTGCCGGCCGCCCCGCGTGACGTGCTCCTTCGGCGAGGCCGGCAGGGGCCGCGTAAGCCCGCCTGGCTCGCGCCCCCGCCGGGCCTCTCGGCGCCCTCGGTGGTTTGGCCGAGGCGGCCGCGTCGCGGCCACCTTTTCGCGGGCGCGGGCTCCGCCCGCCGCCCGCCACCGCCTTGTCGTGGCTCGGCCGGCCGCTGGGGCCGGTGTGGGCCCAGGACGCAGCCAGTCCGAGTGGACGAAACGTCAGATCACGGCCTGTCTCTCCTCCCTCCTACTACGTCTACGTCCACTACGCCAGCCGCTGCGCGGGCTCCGCGACCCCGGGCTGCCTTGGAGGTCTTCTCGGGCTGCGGGCGCTGGACTGGTGCCCTGGCCCAGGCGGGCCTCGTCGTCGCGGCCCCCATGGACATCAAGCACGGGCCCTGGTGCGACCTCCTCAACCCGAAGGTCGAGTCCCGGGTGCGTTCCTGGATCACCTCTCGGGCTGTCTGGTTCGTCCATTTCGGCACCCCGTGCACCCCGTGGTCTATCTCTCGGCGAGGGGCTCGCGAGGTCTCCGCCATCAGGGCTGCCCGTCGGTGTGCTCACGTCACGGTGCGTCTCCTGGAGGTCTGCAGCCGCTACGGGATCCACTGGTCTCTGGAGAACCCTCAGTCCTCGGGCCTCTTCCGCTGGGCCCCGCTCCGGAAGTTCTTGGACCAGCACTCGCGCTCCTGGGCTACCTACCACTGCTGCCGGTTTGGGGCGCCCTACAAGAAGCCCACTACTGTCGTCTCAAGCCTGGGGGCCCTGCACGACATCGGCCTGCTCTGCGAGGGGGGCCACAGGCACGAGCACCTGTCTGGGAAGGTGCGCGTCCGTACGTCCAAGGGGGGGCTCAAGCATCAGTGGAAGACCACGTTGGCCGGCGCGTACCCTCCGGGCGTCTGCCACCTTGCCGCCAGCATCCTGGCGGCAGCGGCGCCGCGTGGCGCCAGGAGGCCAGATGGTGCTCCACTACTCGAGGAACGATGGCAGGCTGACCTCTGCCGGGCGGCGGGCTGCGACTTCGGCCCTCGGGCGCTCCCGTGCCCGGCCTGCCCCTCGCGCTGGGCCCCGCTCTGGAGGGCGGACGCCGAGCAGTGGGGCGGCGTCTGGGGGCCCTCGAGGCCCCCCGCTGGAGGACGCTCCGTCCGTGGGCCGCGGGCCAGTGCTCCGACGCCCCGCCGCTGCCGATGCCGCGCGGAGGCCTCGCGTCCGGCGGGAGCCCGCTGACTACAACCCAGGCTTCCTCCGGCGCTCGAGGGTCACCGCCACGACCGCCGAGCGGTACCACGCCAGCCTGCACGAGTTCGCCGCGCAGATGGGCCTGGACCCGGCGCGCTGGACCGCCCGTGACCTCCCCGCCGTCGACGCCGCCCTCGACCGCTTCCTCGAGGAGCTCTTCGTTGCCGAACGGTCGCGGGGCGATGCTCGGTATGCGCTCGCGGCTGTCGCCGACCATTTCAACGTCAGCCTCCGCCAGCCAGGGGTCCTCCCGCTCGCTCGCGCCGCCATGGCTGGCTGGGGCAAACTGGAGCCTGACTCGACTTCGGACCCCCTTCCATGGTCGGCCGCTGTGCTGATGGCGCACCACCTGTCGCGGACTGGCGTCGAGTCCGACCTCGAGGCTGCCCGCGGCCTCGTTGTGCAGTTCGACACCTACCTGCGGCCCTCGGAGCTGGTGCTCATGCCTCTGGTCGCCTGCTTCACGCCAGGCATGCACGCTGGCGTTCACTACAACAAGTACGGGATGGTCGTCGCGCCGTCCAGTCAGGTGGCCGGCCAGCTCATCGGCATCCGCACCAGCAAGACTGGCGTGCAGGACGACACCGTCCTCTTTGACGATGCCAGTCGGCCTGGCGTAGTCGGCGCTTTTGCCGCGCTGGTCCGCCAGGCCCGCCGTGCCCGCTCGCAGACGCTGCTTCCTAGTCACACGTATGTCTCGTACAATAGAGTGCTGCAGCGGGCCGCCGAGGCCGTCGGCATCCCTTTCAAAGTCACGCCTCACCTCGCCAGACACGGAGGCCCCAGTGAGGACTTCCTCCGCCGTGCCAGGTCGTTGCCCGAGATCCAGGCGCGTGGGCGCTGGGCCTCGTTCCGCAGCGTGCAGAGGTACGAGAAAGCCGGCCGCCTCCTCGCGGCCATCCGAAAGCTTCCGCCTGCTGTCCGGTCCGCAGCCTGCAAGGCCGAGGCTCGCGGTCTTTCTTTTCTAGCGTGAGTAACTTTTCATTGAATCGTTTCTTTGCGGCCGTGGGCCAGTGGAGTGTTATGGGAATTTCTCCCCAGCTGCTCTCCAGACTGTGATACGGGACTTGGTTGGCCGCCGCCTTTTCGGCCCTGGCGATCCTGGACCTCAGTCGCCGGTGGCCCCTCGGAGCGGCTAGCCTCTCTCTCTCACAAGTCGCCAGCGACGTGGTCGCCTGGAGAGTGGAAAATACATCGTCCAGGTGCGACGGGCCGTGGCCCGACCGTTCCCCTCTCGCCCTGTCGATCTCTCCATGGCGGCCTCTCTGGTGGGGGCGTTATACAAGTCAACATTGTACGTGCTCGCGCGCTATGTGTTGTCCAGCGGGCCCTCCCCACCGTGTGCCGTACCAGGATACGGCTGAACAGAACTCTCCTCAGCCCCTGTTTGCTCCCCGCCCGCGTGCCACCCTTTGCACATAGGTACTGAATGTTCTGTTAATGAGCTGCTGGACTTGGTTGGCCGCCGCCTTTTCGGCCCTGGCGATCCTGGACCTCAGTCGCCGGTGGCCCCTCGGAGCGGCTAGCCTCTCTCTCTCACAAGTCGCCAGCGACGTGGTCGCCTGGAGAGTGGAAAATACATCGTCCAGGTGCGACGGGCCGTGGCCCGACCGTTCCCCTCTCGCCCTGTCGATCTCTCCATGGCGGCCTCTCTGGTGGGGGCGTTATACAAGTCAACATAATCATCATCATCAGCACCAGCATCATCATCATCAACGTCATCATCATCATCATCCTTATCCTCATCCTCATCCTCATCCTCATTCTCATCATCACCATCAACATCATCATCATCATAATCATCATCATCAGCACCAGCATCATCATCATCATCATCAACGTCATCATCATCATCATCCTTATCCTCATCCTCATCCTCATCCTCATCCTCATCATCATCATCATCAACATCATCATCATCATCATGCTCATCATCCTCATCATCCTCATCATCGTCATCAGCATCGTCCTCATCATCAGCATCATCGTCTTCATCATCATCATCATCACCAGCACCATAATCATCATCCTCATCATCACTATCATCATCATCATCACCTCATCATAGACATCATCATCATTATCATCATCATCCTCATCCTCATCCTCAACCTCACCCTCATCATCATCACCATCATCATCATCATCATCATCATCATTATCAGCATCATCCTCATCCTCATCATCATTCTTATCGTCATCATCAGCATCATCACCATCGTCACCAGCGTCATCATCATCGTCATCATCAACATCATCATCATCATCATCACCAGCACCACCATCAACATCATCATCACCACCATCATCATCATAATAATTTTAGTGATCATCATCATCATCATCATCATCATCATCATCATCATCATCATCATCATCATCATCATCATCATCATCATCACCCTCACGAGGATCGTGGCCCCATAAAAGCTCCACCGAAGGCGCCAAAAACAAAGTGCGCATGGCAGCCTCGGGCCATGTCGGCACAGCCCTCACGAGGATCGAGGCCCCATAGGAGCTCTACCGAAGGCGCCAGTAGCAAAGTGCGCATGGCGGCCTCGGGACATTTCGGCACACCCCTCACGAGGACCGTGGCCCCATAGGAGCTCCGCCGAAGGCGCCGCCAGTAGCAAAGTGCGCATGGCGGCCTCGGGCCATTTCGGCACACCCCTCACGAGGATCGTGGCCCCATAGGAGCCCCACCGAAGGCCCCAGTAGCAAAGTGCGCATGGCGGCCTCGGGCCATTTCGGCACACCCCTCACGAGGATCGGGGCCCCATAGGAGCTCCACCGAAGGCGCCAGTAGCAAAGTGCGCATGGCGGCCTCGGGCCTTTTCGGCACACCCCTCACGAAGATCGTGGCCACAGAGGAGCTCCACCGAAGGCGCCAGTAGCAAAGTGCGCATGGCGGCCTCGGGACATTTCGGCACACCCCTCACGAGGACCGTGGCCCCATAGGAGCTCCGCCGAAGGCGCCGCCAGTAGCAAAGTGCGCATGGCGGCCTCGGGCCATTTCGGCACACCCCTCACACGTTTCGTGGCCCCTTGGGGAGCCCCACCGAAGGCGCCAGTAGCAAAGTGCGCATGGCGGCCTCGGGCCATTTCGGCACACCCTTCACGAGGATCGTGGCCCCATAGGAGCTCCGCCGAAGGCGCCAGTAGCAAAGTGCGCATGGCGGCCTCGGGCCATTTCGGCACACCCCTCACGAGGATCGTGGCCCCATGGGAGCTCCGCCGAAGGCGCCAGTAGCAGAGTGCGCATGGCGGCCTCGGGCCATTTCGGCACACCCCTCACGAGGATCGTGGCCCCATAGGGGGCTCCACCGAAGGCCCCCAGTGGCAGGGTTCCCATGGCGGCCCCGGGCCATCTCGGCACACCCCTCACGAGGATCGTGGCCCCAAGGTTGTGATGCTTCAACAACCGCGCTTAGGCGTCGTACTCCGCCTTGTCGACGTGCAACGCCATCTCCACCCTCATGGCTCTCAAAGCCCTCTCCTGCTTCTGCTCCTCGGTCAGAGGGACGCCGTCCTTGTCGTCGTTGGCGCCCGCGAAGACGGCCACGAAAGTGTTCCTGAGCATGTCGGGCTCCGGCGGGAAGCCGTGGCCACATAGGGAGCGCGGGCGAAGATGGTATGCACACTTGCGGTAGTCACAGCTTCATATGGTTGAGTCCTTCGCCAGGCTAATTTTTCCCAACCATCCTGTGGTGTTGGGTCCTCGTTTTGAAGAGACGGTGCCCCGCGTCCCCTTCACACCCATTTCGGGACACCCCTCACACGCTGCGTGGCCTCATAGGGAGCTCCACCGAGGGCTCCAGCGCTGCCGTCCGCATGCGTCCCGCACACCCAATTCGGCACGCCCCTCACACGTTTCGTGATTATTCTTATTCTTATTTTTATTCTTATTCTTCTTCTTATTATTATTATTATTATTATTCTTATTACCTAACAGCGAAGACTGGTAGGTTTCTAGTGGTGTCAAAAGAGGTCACAGATCACTCCACAGGGGGGTCCGGGCAGGTGTTGGGAGTTGCCGGGCGGCAGGGGGCCCCGCTCGTTTTTCACCAACAGTCACACACTTCGTGCTCTTCGAGTTCCCAGAACTCCATTCCCAGGCCACATTCTGGAGGGCCGGATGCAACAGTCACACACTTCGTGCTCTTCGAGTTCCCAGAACTCCATTCCCGGGCCACATTCTGGAGGGCCGGATGCAACAGTCACACACTTCGTGCTCTTCGAGTTCCCAGAACTCCATTCCCGGGCCACATTTTGGATGCCCGGAGCCAACTGTAGGCCACTTCGTGCTCTTCGATTTCCCAGAACTCCATTCCCGGGCCACATTTTGAATGCCCGGAGCCAACAGTAGGCCACTTCGTGCTCTTCGAGTGCCCAGAACTCCATTCCTGGGCCACATTTTGAATGCCCGGAGCCAACTGTAGGCCACTTCGTGCTCTTCGAGTTCCCAGAACTTTATTCCCGGGCTGCATTTTGATGCTGATGCGGAGGCTGAGAATGGTGATGCTGATGCTGAGGCTGAGGCTGAGGCAGGCAGGCTGAGGCTGATGAGGCTGAGGCAGGCTGAGGCTGAGGCCGAGGCTGAAGGCAGGCTGAGGCAGACGCTGAGGCAGGCTGAGGCTGAGGCAGGCTGAGGCTGAGGCTGAGGCTGAGGCAGGCTGATGCTGAGGCAGGCTGAGGCTGAGGCTGAGGCTGAAGGCAGACTGAGGCTGAGGCAGGCTGAGGCAGACGCTGAGGCAGGCTGATGCTGAGGCAGGCTGAGGCTGAGGCTGAGGCTGGCTGAGGCGGATGCAGGCTGATGCTGAGGCAGGCTGAGGCACAGAGGCTGAGGCTGAAGGCAGACTGAGGCTGAGGCTGAAGCAGGCTGAGGCTGAGGCTGAGGCAGGCTGAGGCTGAGGCTGAGGCAGGCTGATACTGAGGCAGGCTGAGGCTGTGACTGCGACTGCCGCTGCCACTGCGACTGTCATCGCGAATGCGACTGCGACTGCGAGAACAGCAGAACTCTACAACTGGATTCTCATCTGAATCTTAAGGGGAATGCTTCCATATATGCTTCTACACATCGCTGTTAGGTTGCTTTGCCGGGATATTTTTTTATTCCTATTCTTATTATTATTCTTATTCTTATTCTTATTCTTAGTCTCACTCTTAGTCTTACTATTATTATGATTCTTCTTATCTTTTTTCTAATTCTAAGTCTTGTTCTCATTCTTAGTTTTATTCTTATTATTATTCTTATTCTCATTCTGATTATTATTCGCATTCTAGTTCTAATCCTTATTAGTATTATGCTTATTCCTATTCTTATTCATATTCTTATTCTTATTCATATTCTTATTCTTATTCTTATTCTTATTCTTATTCTTATTCTTATTCTTATTTTTATTCTTATTCTTATTCTTATTCTTATTCTTATTCTTATTCTTATTCTTATTCTTATTCTTATTCTTATTCTTATTCTTATTCTTCTTCTTATTATTATGCTGATTCTCATTCTTATTCTTATTCTTATTCTTATTATTATTCTTATTCTTATTCTTATTCTTATTCTTATTCTTATCCTTATCCTTATCCTTATCCTCATTATTATCCTTATCCTTATCCTTATCCTTTTCTTTATCCTTATCCTTATCCTTATCCTTATCCCTATCCTTATCCTTATCCTTATCCTTATCCTTATCCTTATCCTTATCCTTATCCTTATCCTTATCCTTATCCTTATCCTTATCCTTATCCTTATCCTTATCCTTATCCTTATCCTTATCCTTATCCTTATCCTTATCCTTATCCCTTATCCTTATCCTTATCCTTATCCTTATCCTTATCCTTATCCTTATCCTTATCCTTATCCTTATCCTTATCCTTATCCTTATCCTTATCCTTATCCTTATCCTTATCCTTATCCTTATCCTTATCCTTATCCTTATCCTTATCCTTATCCTTATCCTTATCCTTATCCTTATCCTTATCCTTATCCTTATCCTTATCCTTATCCTTATCCTTATCCTTATCCTTATCCTTATCCTATATCCTTATCCTTATCCTTATCCTTATCCTTATCCTTATCCTTATCCTTATCCTTATCCTTATCCTTATCCTTATCCTTATCCTTATCCTTATCCTTATCCTTATCCTTATCCTTATCCTTATCCTTATCCTTATCCTTATTCTTGTCCTTGTCCTTGTCCTTGTCCTTATCCTTATCATTATTCTTATTCTTATTCTTATTCTTATTCTTATTCTTATTCGTATTCTTATTCTTATTCTTATTAGTATTATTAGTCTTATTCTTATTCTTTTTCTATTCCTATTCTTATTCTTTTTCTCATTCTTATTCTTATTCTTATTCTTATTCTTATTCTTATTCTTATTCTTATTCTTATTCTTATTCTTATTCTTATTCTTATTCTTGTTCTGATTCTTATTCTTATTCTTAT